AAGTACTACTGAGAGTACTTAATGAGTGAAAATACTCGGGAATTTTTTTGAGTACTCACTCGAGTAATCTGAGTACTCATGCTGTAAAGTCGTACTCGCTTGATGAGTACTTTCACTAGGGTGATCACTAATTATCGCTAAGTTGCGATGCTTTTGTGTAATAGTCAGATGGATAGTGAACAATGTGACTTGATGATGACTGAAGAAGCCCTGCTGCACCTCACGCTGGCGGATGAGTGTGTAGTTCATCGAGAAGTCGATATGAGCGACGATAAATGGTTTGTTCACTGACCGGGTGCGCAATTTCTTGATATAATCACGTTGCTGTCTGTTATAATAGGTGTGGATAAGAAATGCCGGCCAACTTTCTTCGATCGTAGTTAGAAGAGAATCAACTGAGCCGATTATGTGTTGGAGGTCGAATTTGTTTTTCATTTTCTTCCACATCGTCCACGAACATTCATCGTCGATGCCAATGATACTGTTACCGATGAGAATGTCGATAATTCCTTCTTCTTGGCAGTTCTCACATGTTCCATTAAAGCAATCTTCTGTTTCAGTCGTGCAAATCATTCGAGAGATGAGATCCTTTAGATTGAACTTGCCATCGTTTCCTGTAGAAGGTTTTTTAATATACTTTTGATAGTAGTTGTTCCAAGCTTATTATGAGTCGGACATTAGAAGTGAATCAATATCATTGACAATACGGACAAACCTTTAAAAGAAGATCCATGTTTTCATGGGTAGTGCACATACATGTTTCATGTGGTGAGGCTATTTTGACTTCTCGAGGTCGAAGTGAGTTGAAAGTCGATCGTGCTACAGCATTAGAATGTCTTTCGTTGAATATTCGATAAGCATCTAAGACTGTCATTTCCATAAATCGAACCGGTACTGGTTGTTTATTGATGAGGATCGTGTCTTTGACATTAGATGACACTCGACTTATATCATCTTCGCAGTAAAATTTAACCACAGCGTCAAATGTTGCATCGAATTAAGGCAAATTTCCTCGTAAGCACTGTGGATAAGCTAAAACTCCCCCGTTTTTTCTCAGAACGAGTGATCGACAAGCCTGGTTTTGTCCTGAATTAAACCTAACAATAGAAAACTGCCAAGTGAAAGATAATCAAATAAAATGATGATTACTGATGGAAAATACTAAGGATAAATAACTTACCATTTTTCGACTTGTTTTCGGTCCCATTGTTGAGGTGCGATTGTCATCAAACGGACTTGTTCTTTGTCATCGCTTTCATCGAACAACCTTTTCAGACCACCCAAATGCTCGTTTGATTCACTAAGCAGCAAATTATGTAGACTTGCATTACGTTGATCTTGAGATTGTCCTTCTAACACATCACATAATCCATGAAGATATCTGTATACTTCATCGATTTTAGCACGAATGGGACGAACAGTCACTCTAAGAATAAGAACATTTACAGAAAGCCGAGAACTAAGTGAGCGATTTACTTATCGTGAATTGGTTTTATATCCAATAATCGGAAGATAGTGGATAATTTCTCTATTGCTTTTTTTTTTTGATATTCGAGATCATAAGAAACATAATCTGATTCTTCATCCATTGATTCAGCATCAGTTCCTTCATCGTTGTCTTTTGTATCACCTTCCATGCTATCATTCATGTAAGCATTATCCTCATCTTCCAGAGTGTCATACGAGACTTCTTCATCATCATCTTCACCAGAAGAAATATCTTCTACCGTATATCCATCATCAGTGAGGCTTCGATTGTTGTTGATTCGCATTGGTTGATGAATTTTTAGTTCACTTGATTCCAATGTATGACATCTAGGACAGAGCCAATGAACACGAGTATCCGTGATACCATATCGACTGATTAAAAACATGGATAATTTCAATGAGACTACTCTAACTCCTTTTGCTCCTGATGTAGACGCTGCGTGTCTCGTTGGATATTGGCAATATTTTGGTCTCGGCATTGAGTTTGTACAAAAGATAATAGAAAAATAGTTCTGGTGAACGATCTATTCTATACGATATCCAGTGACTCATCCGGCATTCATATTCGTTTCAATTTAAACTTTTCGTGCATGCGTCTCCATACCTAGATGTCCTTGTGTGACAATCTTTCGTTTTATCACCCTTACTTCTTGTTCCGTTTGATTACACAGAGTATCGATGATTTCATTCAAAGTTATTGCCTGGCAATCGTAACAAATGCCAAGATAAAAGGGCTAATCACGCAATGGTATGGTTTATCTAATTAGAAACAACTCAAGACTGCGATCAAAACTATCCAGATCACCTATCAGCTGAGGACACCTGTGCGAAAAGGTATTTGCTAAAAGTACTTTAGTGTGTGATACAAGAGAGTAGGGGCATTGCGCATCAATAAGATATTTTAAGATATTAGCGATTGGTGGTTACTTTCGCTGATGAAATACAGTCTATATATCCACAGTTTCCACAAAAATGCCTCAGAATTCCAGACTCTCCTTATGAATATTTTTTTTCATTTCAAAAATGCTTTTAGACACTTCCATAAGATTCAGCATAAAAATTGACCATGGAACGGTAGTTTGCATCACCCGTAGAGCGCTTTACCTGAGTTACCTGGCCTTTACTATGTATCTCGACATGTACCGAGAAATTGACCTGAAAGTTCTGAATTTTGATAATGAAAGCTACTTTTTTTTGATCAATAATGTTTTCTGAAGAGGATCAGTCGTTTGATTGAGAAAAAAACTGAAAAACTTTTCCAAAACGGTGGTTGGGTCTCCATGGATTTACCCATATATATATAGCGTCATACTAATAGGAAAAAGCATTAGCTGACTGAACTAAATCGAGTCAGCAAATAGGTTGACTCGACTTCATATGTAATATGAAAATGAAGAAAAGAGAACGATTTAGCTTAGTACATTTTCATAACTTCGAACATTTCGTATATATATATAATGGAAAAGAAGGAAAGAAAACCATTTAGCCGTCTATCTGTGCTTGACTTCGAACGTTTGGAATAGACATGTGTGTATATATACTATAGACAGGAAAAAAAGAAAATGAAATGGCTGAGTCTATGTTAAGATGTTTGAACATTTCGAATAGATACATGTATATGTATAATAAACAGGAAAGAAAGAAAGAAAGTGATTTGGCTTCATGTATATTTTTCGTCAGCAAATAGATTGACTCATTTCTCTCTATATATGTGAGAAACTCTACGTATGCCAGTCCGATATAACAATTTTTGTCCTGCCCTGCCGCCTGGCAGGGCGGGCTTGAGCGCAGGACGAAACAGGACAGGATAAAACTAGAGCTTTTGTTGTGTTTCAGATTCTACCATGACACATTGCAATGGTAGAATATGATAAGAAAATATGCCACTGTTGATAAGTATGTCCTGTGTTTAATCTGTTTTTTAACAAATCTTTTCGATTGTTTTGTATATACGGGTATATATTTTTTTGTGAATATTTGACTCAGTATGTGTTTGATTTGTATCATACTTATTATATCAAGTACTTTTTCATGTTCTCCTTTTATAATATTATTCTTTATATGTGAAGACAATACTGCTAGAATCCTAGATTATATGTAAATTTTATTTCCAGTAATGAGAGTGTCATATAAATAATAACTCAAGATCGTTTCCTCTTTTTTGTATTTAAGGTGGTATTGTTTCAAGGGAGAAACGGCGGACTTTTGGACTTAAAGTTACTTTGATCTACTTTAAGCTACTTCGATTTACTTCGAAGTACTTTAAGCTATTTCAAGTAATTTACTTTCACCTACTTTTCAGCTTCACATTTACTTGAAGTTATCTGAAGTTACTTGTTCTAACTTTGTGCTACTTGAGTGATACTTTTAGCTACTTCAAGTATTGGACTTTGACATACTTTTGTACTTCAAGTCCGCTGTTTCCCCCTTGTATTGTTTACTAAAAATTCAGTTTTTGTATTTGAAATTAAATGAAATATACTGGCTACAATGCAGAAAATTAATTAACCTAGGCTTGGATTACTGACCGTAAAAATGACAAATATTGCTGTTATCACATCCATGATGAATACAAAACAGGACGGTTCTGGTGTCCTGTCCTGTCCTGCCGCTCGCCAGGACAGACCAGGATAGCAGGACAAATCAGGACCGAACGAATTTAGAGTTTTTGTCATGTCCTGCCGCCCGCCAGGACGGACCAGAGTATCAGAACAGGGCAGGACAGGACAGAAAAACTTGTCCTGTGCTCAGCTCTGCTTGTAACATAAGAATCCATTCCTTGAACATAGTGTGCGCGATATTAACTTGAATCTATGAATGCAAGCTTCGTCCTAAAAGATGTATCAAAAAACTTAAATAGATTCAACCCGTAAGACATTTGAATTTTGTTCAAAATTTTCAGTTTTAAAGAATAGATATGGACTTGTATAATCTACTAAATAGGTTATAGTTAAGTTAATTATATTTGGAAAATTTGAAATGTGCAAATGTAATATTAATGATTGTATCGAAAAGCAATTCGAATGTTTCTAACCGAATAATTTAAGAATTACTATCTAGTAGGTACAATATTAAGAATACCACCTGATGAAGTCAAGCCAAGACAGAAACAACCATTGTCGTGGTACAGCATTCTAAATTCTAACACACACCCCACACTCACACCTAGAAACGAGGAATGCAGATCACTGCCGTATACCGCTGATTTCTCAGGCTATGTGTCGTGGAGAAAGAAGGCGATCATACCATTCGAAAGAGGGCACTTCAATGATCATACATGCTTAGAAATATATTCAATAGACTACATAATGGCCGTGCTAGGAGTCGAGCATCATAGGTCAATTTTTCCAGTCGTTAATAGGGGCACTGCGTTTATGAATGAAGACATTTTCTCATATCTAGTTTATTAATATGAAGATATCGCATCACAAATGAAAATAAATTAACGTTTGAATCTTCTAACGAGTGTAGGCAGTAACATTGACTCCCATTGGTGTTGGCTTAAAATGTCCATCGCATTCCGGGCATTTTGCCCCCGAGAAATCTATTATGAACATCCACACTGGCGAAGAGGCACCGCATTCAGGACATTTATAGGGTAAATTTTTAATACCTATTGGTAGTTTTTGTATCAGATTTTGCCCCTTTTCACTGCTCTTCCTTTCAAATGCCTCAATTTCTTTTGCCGTTAAGTCATTTAAATCCCAATAAACATCATAGAATTTCAGATTTAATACTGATTGGTTTCGAACTCGAAAAAAGCCTTTATCTGCAAATTTAGTGCCCCATGAGTTAATGAATGTTAAACTCGTCGGATCACACTTCATCAACACAACAGCGTGCCCAAATAATTTGTCTCCAACACTAGCCAAACCCAAGTCTTTCGCTTCCAACACACCCTGCGGAGCATCTGCGTAAAATGTTGTGAACGCATCCCATTGTTTCTGATTCAATCTAAATGTCGCGACTACTGGTCTCCGTTGATTGATCGCTTGTCGAGCACCAAGTTCTTCGACTTCTTTGCTGTGTAAACGATATGTAGGAGCGCAAGTCCTCAGAACTTCTTCGGTGAGTGCTCGTTCGCAACCGAATTTATTGATCAACTCTTCATAGATGTCTTCGAACTTATCTACGCCATCCTCCCGACCTTCAATTCGACACATTGCCAAGTGAAATACAGTGGCACTTGCATAAGCATAACAAGTCAAATCTGTTTGTTCTTTTGCTTCAAAGGTGGAATTGGCAGCATTGATATATATATCCAAAGATACTCGGCCAATCATATTCATTAAAACGTCATTACTTTCGGACATATATTGAATGATATTTGAAAATTCTTTAATCACATCAGGATGATTTGCTTGGACGAAAAGACGGCTATGGCCAGCGGGAGGTAGATCCCACTTCTGTTCCTGGAGGATCGACATTGCTGAATGACTGTTTTCCACCGTAGTACTGAGTTCAAACATTTCTCGATGTGCTTTTGACCAATTCGGATCGGGTTCATAATATAATTGTCTTGGATTCGAGATATTCTTTGATGTCAAAATACAAGCGAAGACCAGCACATTTAGTTTGCGAAGTTCTTGAGCGAATCGTGTAGGATTCCCATCGGTGGATTCTCCATCCGAAAGTAAAAAAAGAACTTTTTGTTTATGAGTACCAGAACAAAATGTATGGAGAGCAGATTGTAGTGCTTGACACATCGGGGTATTTCCGTAAATAAAAGGCTCAATGGAATCAGCTAAGGCTGATAGTTGGGCAGATGTTAAAGATTGCTGAGTTTTTGACGAGTCTGACGATGTGTTTGTTACCTGTTTCAACAGATTCACGGTGGAATTAAAGGTTCTGCTTTCAGGTCTTGTCATCGTTCGTAATTTTTCCACAATTGGTTGCCGAAGCAGGTGTTTGAGATCTATTATCAGAAGATCGACATGTTCTTTCACGAGAATAGCTAAGTGCTTCGTTGCAGGATCATATGCACGCTCTATTGCACGCATAACCTTTTCTGTAGTAGCCTTTTCTTCTACAGTATTTGCATCATCACAAACTTTGAAAGTTGATCCCATATTCATCATAAAGAGACCCATATTTGTTAAGGAATATGTTCTCTTGCATATATCTGGCAAATCTTTCACAACCTTATCTAAATCTTTTGTCCTTCTCGAGTAAAATTTGAAAAGAAATTGTGCTTGTTCTTCTGACATGTATTTTCTCACGTATTTTTTAACATTTGGTGCTCCATTTAATGATAACAATTCGATGATAGCTTCTTGACCGCTGCCATGGTGCGAGCGATCTGATGCCGAAAAACCAAATTCCTCCACGAATTCAAGTAATATATCGGGCTTCTTTGAATAGAATTTGTAAAGAAGGCCCGCCTCCTCTTCGGTCATGTGTTCTCTCACGTATTCCTCAGCAATTGATGCTCTATTGGATTTTAACAAATCGATAAGAGCTTTTTGACCGTTACCATAGAGCTTGCGATCTGCTGTCGAAAAAAAAACTTGTTCTAAGATTTGACGTAACTTCTCACGGTTTTCCGAATAAAACTTGAAAAGAAATTGTGCTTCGCTTTCGGTCACGTGTTCTCGAATGTATTGATAAGCATTTAAGAATTTTATGAATGTCAATAATAGTAGGAGATTTTCGTGACCATTGCCATTACGTTGCAGATCTAATGTCTGAACATAATCCAGCAAAGTGAGTAAGTCACATGTAGCAACATCTAGCAATCCAAATGCTAACACGAACACTTCGTAACTGTCTTGGAAACAAACTTCACGATTCACTATGTTCATGATGGTAGTGAAAATTGATTGAGCACGAGTAATATCTTGATCGGACGGTTTCATATGCAATTGAAGACTACTCTTCATAGAGCCCGATACGTCGACAAGTACACCAGCCAACATTTTCAACTAAAACAGTCATGAAACTATGTACTGTTCAGAAACAAGCGAGAAAATGAATGAACACTCATAAAATTTTCATCAAAACAGAGCAACATAACTATGGTACTACCGCAAATGGTATAGGGAGATGTTAACTAGAACATGACAGTCATAACATAACTTAAAATATGAGGTCTTTTCCAGCGCAATTTGATGTGTGATTTTAAGAGGGAAATAACCAAGAATCGAGCACGAGCACATCAAAGATGAGCCAAAGGACGGGGGACGGTTTGTACATTAAACGACCCTAACTGACAAGTACATCAAAAACCGTTTCCATCATAGATTTTCTCATATAATTTGTCAGACTAAACCATTCTCTGCTATCACAGACCATTTTTCAAACTACTTTCAAGTGCTTTCGACCACAGCCAATATACGCCCAAAAACGCTACATTTCTAGTTTAGGCCACACAATGACCCCTCTATCATCAGCATCCAACACACTCAAATAGCCGCATAATTTCAGGATATTTGCCGGTATTATCAAGGTGCAGAATCAGAATTCGACATGGTTCAAAATACGCTGCGCTCGATGAGTTCTCCGAGTAATACTGTCAAAAAACTATAGAAAAGCGAATAATTGGTCTAGTGGGGTCATCATGATTTCGAATTTGGATCTTAGAACCGGAGCGATATTTGGTGCATATTTGCCGGTTTCCGAGAGTTGTAAAATATGAATTAAACAAGGTGGTCGAAATGCTGTGCTCGATGTCTTCTCCGAGCGATACTATCAAAATCCATAGAAAAGCGAATAATTGATCTAGCGTGGTCTCATGATTGACTATCCATTGAGTTTAGGAAGTGGTTATACCGAAGAATACACAGAGACATTCGAGCTGAACCTGATGGATATGAGCTTGACGATGGAAGAATGTGTTCGCAGAAGAAGCTGGAGACATCAATCGGCTCCGCTTTGGATCGGCAGACAAAGCATACTAGTATGATATGTAGCTGGGAATCGATGCAAAACAAGTCGAGACATTGTATTATACCTGCGTCACAGGTTTTGGTATAGTAGGCTGTTCCATATATGTTGTAGCCGTTATTTCCAATCTAGGCTATCAACGACATCATGTATCACCAACTAAAAAATCATCCTTCGCCGATGTGGTGAATCTACCTTAGACAGGCAATATATTTCAATTTGAGCGGTGATCAGATGATGAAGACAACACTGAATTCTATACAGTACACTGATAATGATATGCTATCCCTATGAGGGCTCGCGCGAAAGATGAAATATTAGGTAGGTGTACGCCAGATTGTGTGGGGGCTGGGTAGTGTAAGGAAGAACTGTCAAAAAAAATTCTTGCGGCAAAATTATCAACTGTAAACAAAATCTGCATTTGTGAACTGAAAAGCTGAATTCTTTGGATTTTCGGGGTAGGGTGTACACATCTCTGCACCCCTTGCTCGCACGGAGCTTGATCCCTATATCCACGGTTTTTTTCACCAATTACAAAATTGAACTACTTGTGAGCTCTCATATGGATATAATGAAAGGAATATGTAAGGAAGGAAAGAGAGATATATAAAGAGCGAAAGAGGCAAGCAGTGTCACTGATGTTATGTGACAGAATGATGAAAAAGATGACCTTTGTGGGAATCCAACCCACACATTCTGCTATCCTGGCAGTTTTCCTAAGCTAATTAGACTAGAAGGCGCATCTTAATTATCGTTTAGCGCGCAAGTGATTCATCATGAACGCTAACACTAGTATTCCAGTGTGTAACAACAGTTCATGATTAAAAACATACCTACGTAACTAACCAATAAAGTATTGGTCCTTTTTGACATCGCTCTCTAATTTTTCCATGATTCAGGACATCTTGAATCCACTCCACACTCAGCCGAAGGCTTTCAAAAAAGAAGTAACGTAAGACATCTCGTGAAATGACAAGGATATTTCGTTAAGTCATTTCACTAAACAAATTTGCCTCAACACCAAACTTATCAGCTAGATCGAATCGGACATGGTAGTCCAGCGGATATAGCGATCCTTAATGCTGCTGAGAGGTGTTGATATCCAATCTACGTCGAGGATGCTGATGCAAACGATGTTCTGTCTGTCACCGGGTTCTGAATCCGAAACAGCCGTAACAAAAAAGGTACACAAATCCAATCACTGACCAAAGACATACAAAATCACCACATGACAACGACCAAGTTCAAAACATATCCGGATCTCCACAATGAGCTACCCTGCTACAAAATCAACTACTCCAATGTACGTCTCCAACAGAACAAAGCGTTTCTCTGTAATGCATAACTGAAAAGGATGTCCAATGTACTGTAACACTTATAAAGAATGATGCAAACATCCGAGCACCATCCGATCGATTAAATATCCACAGCATAATCCGACTCAGTTCTATCAGAACCGATCTTAACCGAATTAGCCACGTCTTCGTTCCTGCAACGCTAATGATAACATCCTATTCAGAAATACCGAATCCAACGTAGTTTTCACCTAAGTCAATTATCATTTTACAGCTCTCATAAACCTAGAAAGATGCAACAAGTATTGCTCCATTTCCACAATCCAAAGTCAACATCATGAGGGCCACACTAGACCAATTATTCGCTTTTCTATGGATTTTGACAGTATCGCTCGGAGAAGACATCGAGCGCAGCGTATTTTGAACCATGTCGAATTCTGATTCTGCACCTTGATAATACCGGCAAATATCCTGAAATTATGCGGCTATTTGAGTGTGTTGGATGCTGATGATAGAGGGGTCATTGTGTGGCCTAAACTAGAAATGTAGCGTTTTTGGGCGTATATTGGCTGTGGTCGAAAGCACTTGAAAGTAGTTTGAAAAATGGTCTGTGATAGCAGAGAATGGTTTAGTCTGACAAATTATATGAGAAAATCTATGATGGAAACGGTTTTTGATGTACTTGTCAGTTAGGGTCGTCTAGTGTACAAACCGTCCTCTGTCTTTACTTGATAAAAAGCAACCTAAAAGCATAATGGTGAGAAAAAAACGATACTTTCGCACGACATCTGAAAATTTCATACCGAGGATCGAAGAAACAAAGGAAAAAGTGTGCCCAAGATGACTGTAACTACCCACGTAAAAAAAATTACGGGAAAAATCAGATTTTTATCGATTTTTTTTCTGATTAATAATCGATTAAAATGGCACGATTTTAATCAGATATTAACCCGATTTGTTAATTTTTAATAATTTTAATCGATTATTCAACTGTTAATCGATTTTAATTGCTGCAACTAAAAAACGCGTTTTCCTCGAGTTTTCACTTAAAAACTTGAACTTTTTATTATCTTTTCTGACTTCTTGCGTCGACAAATGGAAAGTGTAGTACAAGCCCGACCATTGACACATACCTATATATTACGACATACATTCACACTCACTCGTGTAAGCCATAATGCCGATACGTCAGATTAAAATCGATTAAAGATGAAATAATTGATTAAAATCGGTTAAAGATCAAATAAGCGATTAGAGTCGATTAAAATTTGACTAAAGTCAAGAAATCAGGTGAAAATCTGATTAAAATCGTGGCATTTTAATCGATTATTAGTCAGAAAAAAATCGATTAAAATCTGTTTTTTCCGGACATTTGTTTTACATGGGCAAGGCCACTATCCCGACCTGTGGAGAAGGATTAAGAAGGATGGAAAGGGGTAGGAAGAGTTCAAAGTTTCCTGCTACACGCTGCATTTCATCGCATTTCACTGCTTAAAATATTGTCTTTTCACGTTTTATCAGATCTTCCAATGCCCATTAGACATCATAGAAAAATAAGTTCAGCATCGATTGATTTTGCACTTTGAAAAATCTTCAGCGGCATATTGTGTTTCCTATGAATTCATCGATGTCTAACTTGTGCCATCACATCTATATAATTAAAAACTACAACATGTTCAAAAGTTTCTTTCGGCAAGTTCCGTACTTGTAAATCTCGAGCTTGAAGAATAACACATGGATTATTCTCGTAAAATGTGACGACGGTTTCGCATTGTTCTTGACGTATTCGAAATGTTACGATGCGTGGATGTCACATATTAATAGCCTACCAAGCCTCGAGCTCTTGTGCCTTTTTATGCCGTAGACGGTAGAATAGAGCATATTTATTGGGGACTTATTTAGTTTGAGTTAATCTGTTCCCATACTTCTATGTGAGTTAATCATGCATCTCGAAACATCCGACACTCCATCTTCCCGGTCTTCGATTCTGTCCATTGCCATAGGAAAAATTGCTGCTACTACATTGACATAGCATGTTAAACTAGTTTGCTGCTTTGCATCAAACATAGCATTAGCAATATTGATGTACATGTCCATGGAGACACAGTCGACCCAATCTAACAGGGCATCGTTCCTTTCGGTCATTTCGTGAACGAGATCCGAAAATTCATTGATTAAGTCAGGGTAGATTGCTTGAAAAAGTAGCCGACTTTGACTAGAAGCTGAAAGTTTTCAGTGTTTTTTCAAGAGAAATGCAATTTTTGGGCATGTATTCGATCCGATCGAACTCATGTGGAACATGTCACACTGTCTTTTAAGTCATTGTGAATCGGAAATATCATAAAGACGTCTTGGATGAGAAATATTGTCGGATTTTAACAGACATGCAAAGCCGATCATATCTTTGTAATGAAGTTCCTCGGCAAGTTTAACAGGACTGCCACCCTTTAATTCACCATCCAATAGCACATACAGAAATTTTGACGCCGAACTAAAAGATTCAACTATTTCAAATGCATATACTAACACTTTGCACATCGGGGTATCTTCATATAGCTTTGGTTAAATCGCATTGACAAGATGGAACAGTTGAGCGGCCAACCAAGTTTCTTGTACTCTTGACGATGACAACTTGGATGTGTCTCTTTACAAACAAACAACATCATCTGAAGGCCGCTTCTTTGCCTTGAACATGGCTTTAATTTCCAAATGGCAAACGATTGAATGACTTCTTGAATATACTTCTTGGCAATGAACTCTTCAAAACTACAGAATATTCTTATCATGGGTCGCGGCCGTTCTGGCAACAGGAATGCTTTTGAAGATAGAAGATAAGAAGCCGTGGAAAATTTGAACACGTCTCTTGAATCTATACTCGTATTTACCGCTTTGGCAGTTGAATAAGAATCATATAATGTTCCGTTTTTGCAAATGAAGGACACTTTTATCACAACATTTGCTCTAGATGAAAAGACTCCTAAAAGGCTCTAGGCGCTTCTTGTGACAAGTATTTCTTAATAAACTCACCTGTATACGGTGCTCCATTCTGTGCGACCAGATGGGATAAGTGCTCGTGGCCAGTAGCTTTATATTGTCTATCTAGTATTATCGTATCATTTAATACAGCCAGTGGATCACAAGTGCCGACATTCTGTATTCAAAAACTCAATGCAAGTAGTGTCCTGCACAACTAACAATTTTGGTCACAATCACGATCACGATATTTATTTTTTAGTCATGATCACGCATGATGAACCACCAAAACATGATTGTCGGCGAGCGGGAAAGGTAAAATGACTAGGACTCCTGTATCCCCCTTCAACTCTATATGTGCGAGAAATGCTATTTTCCATTCAAAGCATTGGCCACGATCACGGTAACGGTCACAAATCATTGTTTTTAGTTACGAGCACGATCACGCACGTGCTACATCATTCACGATCACGAAAAATATCTTTTTTTAGTCACGATCCCTGGTACTGTCACGCAGGACACCAAATACAAGTATTTCTTCATTCTCGCGAAAGTCTCCTTCATGTCCGATTGCTTTTATGATACTATTGAAGATCCACTGCGCGTGTCATGGTTTGATGCTCAAGTTGGGCACCAAGTTGAAGAGCACTACCCAGGTCAACGATTACGGGCTTCGTTTACGGTCGTAATTTAGCGCAATACCTGACTCAGTATTACGATCGTATATCGTCGTGACCGTATATGGTCGTACACGATCGTATACGGAGAAATACAGAATAAAACCGGGTATTGTATACGGACTCCGTATACGAAAATCGTAAACGATCGTATTTTTCTCCGTATATTGTCGTTTTACTCAGTATACGATCGTTTACGACCGTGCTTGTTCAACCTGGGTAGACATAGAACCTGAAACATCCACAAGTAGTTCAACAAACATTTTCTTTTCAGATAAATCTAGAATAGAGTGCGTGTACTGAATAATTCGAAGATGAAAGTAGATAGAAGCAAACCAACAAAGTATTATCTTAAGGAATAAAAGCAGCGACCTTTCCTTTAGTTCTATTCTCAGCTACGATACAAAAAAATGAAGGACATCTATTATGATAATTACAGAACATTCGTGGTATCATGGCTATATGATGACACACTGGTTGGAAGAAGTTGACCTATTCAAACTGAAAGAAAACAAGAAGATGTCATCACCCCTAATCTCGTGCTTCACTGTACCTGGTTGAGGTGCTACAGATATCAAACGAGTTTAATTGTCCGCGAACCACTTTTCGAACAGCCTCTTGTTCCAACTCTCCCATTGTCCGATCAATTGTGTGATATCGACTCGTGGTGTTACAGTTCATAGAACTGCTATTGAAACCAAGTTCATTGTTTCCCTTTTGTGAAAATCCAGAAGTAAAGGAGAATGATTTTGAATCCCCGTAAATGCCATAGTACCAGTCAGCCAGCTCTTGGTGTTGTGTTTTTCGTCCAGTATATCCGTAACACTTCGCGCAAACTAATAATACAATATTTTTAAATCTAACATCGTTTGGATAGAGAACGAGACCGGTTTTCGACTCTGTGCAACCACAGTTGTGGGTTGACCAACCGAATCGTGATGAGACTGGAGCACTTTGAACACTATGAGGATCCTGGGCGACTAATTTGCCTTCTTTGCTAATTTTCAGATTTAAGAATCCTTCACCGTCATTTGACGATGACATGATACTTGACTTTCAGACGACAATCAAGACACTATCACCAAAATAGAACAAAAATAATAGAAGAAAAAGGGCAAACAATATCACCTTTATACAGATCTGTTTTCATTCTGTATAAAATGCGAGAAAGACCCGTTTAGACAGGTGTAGGTCAAGGAGGAAAAAGCAGATCCTAGATCCTTGGATCCTGTTGGATTCTGATGAGTCCTATTGGATCCTGCTAGATCCTGTCGATCCTGTTGACCCTGGTAAAGGGTATTAGATTGCACAATAGATTGACTGGAATGTACGGAAATCTATTAGAACTTACTTCAAGCTACTAAATACGTTGGAGTCTACAATAATCCATCAAAAACTGATTAGCTTTACAGAAATCTTCAAACAATTTAAAAAATCTATCCCGCTGGATTATGGGTGTCAGCTCATGCTCACGAGTGCTCATAAGCGTGAGCCTTTCTTCTCTAAACAGAATATGCAACAAAACAGTAATAATGAACCCACTTTCGCTATATTCATATAAAAATACATTATAGTTTCTCATACAGTTTCTTATCTAATATATTCAGTCGATATATCTAAATATTTATTACTCGATGAATTGACAATAAGTGCTATAATAGGCTCATTAAAGTTTGGAAAATCATAGTTTCCGTATATTTGTTTCTTAAACTCGCTCATCTTGCTACCGCAAACCATCAAGAAACAAAGCTATTATCTTATTATATATGTCTAGTAGGGGCAGCACATTTCTATTACCGGTAATAAGTAATAACTATTATTTCTAATTAATAGTACTAACTAAAAGCCAGAAAAATTAATAAAGTAATAAGGAAGAAATAAAGCAACAAGTAACGCTTGTCACTGCGACTCGCTTAACCCTCGACTGAACAATTTAGAGCAACGATATACTAGTCTACCTTGCCCGGGCAAATTTTAAGAATATCAAGAGTACCGAGGTGGGTGTGGGTGGGTATAGGGTTTCCGATGTGCAAGATGTGAATTACTACATTCACACTCATATCCACAGAAAGAAAGACATGTCTCTTGCTGTTTTAAATACCATATTTTACTAATAACATGTTTTTCTCGCGTTCATGTAACAGTAGTAAATTCACTTTAAATAACAGGACGAAATATATCAAATAAAATGTAATATTTAAAACTAAGAAATTAAATAAGAGATAAAACTCTCATTATGTTACTAAGCATGACATGTTTTATAAATATTTGGTTAACAACTATATTATCGCATTTCATTACCATTCATTAATAGAAAAGTTTTTCAAAATATGGACGCTTGAAAATGTGCAAAGGTTGTATATGTTTAGGAAAAATTATGGTAAGTAACTGTTAAAAAAAGAAAGCTGATAAAAGTTTCATATGATTTTTTTTCTTTTTTATAATCAACTGCGCTTTGCTCTTTATCTTAAGGGCCCCTCCTCAGAATCGACTTGCCACTTTTGAGCATAGGTTTGAGCTGAAACTTTCAGGGATACGTGGTGGCAGTGAGAAACGCTTGTGGTAAAAATTTCAGCCATGTATATCTTACTAAACTGGACTTACGACTTGATTTGTGGCTTCCACGAGAATTGTTATAACTTCATGACTATGAGAGCTATCGAGGTCGGGTTGGTTTTAAATTAAAGCTAGCCTGCATACACAACTTTTTATCAGACAGAATTTTGAAAATTCCTTCTCTTCATTTTTTATAAGCATTTTACTCGGTATGACTGCCAAAGTAGGTATAAAAAAAGCACTAAATCGGACTTTTCTCAGTTCAGGAATCCAATATCGAAAATCCGTCTGACAAAAAGTTAGCTATAATTGAGAGCTTTAAAATAAAATAAAATAACTGGGAAAGCTAAAACCAAACGAAAGTTATAGCAATTTTTCTGCTTGAGACCCATGTTTTCAGACCAACATTTAGGAATTTTTAGAAAGGTGTGTGCTAGTAAGGGAAATGAAAGAGTATTTCTTCAATAAGTCTGTCAAAACTTAACCTTTTTTCAAATAATTATATATCTTCTGAAAGAGGAGATCACGGGGACTCTTCCTATGATAAAAACTAGTTTTCGGTTTTTTTCGAAAAAGCGGCTTTTCTGAGGGGAAGGGTCCTTAACAAAAAAATATTCATCTCTCTTGTAGATCCTGACAGTTGACATCGCCGACGTTGTTTTCAAACAAACATGTAGTAGAGGTCAGTCTTTTAAATATGATACCTATCTATGAACCGTAATCTCTGAGAAAGTTTTGCTAGTTAACGGAAATTGCCATGCTACTCGTTTCTTAAAATCATAAATGTCTCGTTTACATATAAATCATTTAAAAAATCATAAAAACCAATAAAGCAGCATTTATTTTCTCGAAGCGAGATCGGAACCAAAACATATGGGTTCCACAGTTCCCTACATGTGTATCTTCAAATTAATACTCATAAAATTCAAGTTAAAAATCAGTCTAATACCGTTTCAGATAAATGCTACAGTATTGTTTCTTTGGCAGTCTATATTGAATTATCTTCAGCTGAAATCGAGCTCGAAAATTTATGAAACAAACTGACCATTATGAGATCGTGCATCTTGGATTTCTTATTGAATGAAGAAACATTTCTAACTTTCTCTTGCTATTTATACTTTTTCGGATACTTGTAAAGATAGATTATATTGATCCCAGTACAGCATACAATATTAAATATTTTTACGAAGAAAAAACAATTACCGTTTTATAATGGACCTGAATTGAGTTACATAGAGAGTTTTTGCCAGAAGCAGCACTTGTATATTAACCACAACGGACAAAATAAAATTCCCTTAACAATTATTGTTCAGCTACTTTAGATTTTCTTGAGTATACACTTATGCATCTAACCAATATTTAAAGCTCAGTTAATGGCTGATTTTATGGGGGAACTGGTCCAGTGCACATACAATTGGAGGCTTCAGTCATTGTAAATTAGATAGCTATCTATTTGTGTGATGAAATTCAATATGATTATGCCAAGCAAAATAATTCAAACTATTTAGATTTCATTCGTCATCGTTGACAAGAATTATGATCATTGATAGTAGAAAATAAGGTCATTTTTGTGTACTCAAAAAAAAAAGAGTACACTATACAATCGGTCAGTGTGTCCGTCAGTCCGTCCGTTTATTCGATAACTCTTCACCATTACATTCGATTGAGCTGAAATTTTGTGCACATGATTGTCTCATCAATATCTAGGTCAAGTTCGAAGATGAGAAGGATCCGTCAAGAAATGGCTGAGTTATCGAAAAAATTGTTATTTTTGATCAGGCCATTCCTGAGGGGGAGTACAGGGATTTTTCAAAAAAACTTTTTTCTCAGAATTATTCACAACATCTATAAATCGACTCAGCTTTTAACGCTGATTCTGAGTCTGATATTAGTTTTGAACTAAATCGTAGCTTTCTAACGAAACATCGCCTGAAAAACGTCTCAAAATGCACAAAAACTGCATCCAGAAATCAAATTGCCTAGTTTCTCATGATAATTTTCGTGTTCAGACATTCTAGAATGACTCATATGTC